CTTCTCTAGTTCATTTTGCCAGTTCATGTTAACTAGCAGGTCCGACTCAAAGAGACTTGTAGGACTCTTGTGAAGCTGAAGAGTGGTACAAGGGAGCCACGCTGACTACAGATTACAGGACTTTACAGGATGATCTGTGGAAGCTTCGCTAAGTATCATTTGGTGCCCCCACCAAGCCGAACTGCGCCCTCCTTGCAGCAACATGTGAATCAGCTGATTCAAAATTATTGCTCGCTCGTTTGTATCAGTCAGATTGACTCCCTTGTCCTTCCTTTGGCCACCAGTCCCGTCTGATATGTGATGGGTTGGTTTTTGCGGGGTCCCAAGGGGAAACCTGTCTTTGAAATTGTCATGCTAATGTGTTCATTGTTCAAAATACGGCTATCACTAAGTAAACATAAAACTCTTGTCAATTGACCTTGAGTTTACAACAGTTCAATTACAGAATTGTTCGTATTATTGGGGATTCGCTGCATTTGTTGCTTACTTTGTCAACCATCCTGCATACACTCCACCGTACTTTGGCGACAAACAGGTGTATCTTGGTCTGATTGGATTCGCCATTTTTGAATTCGGTGAGGTTTCACACAGTTTCGGTCTATCTCACTAATTGCAGTTGACCCTATATAGAAGCTTACGTAGACATTCTGACTAAATTAGAAGTCTAGGAAAGCAGGTCGGATACAGTACCCCAAGGGGCGCGTTGATCTGAGTGCCTACGAGCCCCGAATGCGCACAGTACCACACAGTATTCGTTAAGGCAGCTTCTGGCCACAGGTGAAATGCGCATCGTTCTCGCCTCCTGGCCTCAGCCCGGTGCTCATCCTCCGATTGTTTTTCCGGGGAGTTCGGGTCAATAAAGAAACGTACATCAACGCGGCTTGAGGTGTGTCCACTTGTTTGCGCTCACCGAGCCAACAGATATAATTTCACGCGCAGTTGTTCGCAGTACTGTGTCCCCCTACCTAAACTTGTAATCTTTTGAAGTTTTGCTATTCTAGTAACATGGGGCGTTTGGTGCAGAGCATCCAAAGGTTTTGAAAATAAAGTAGCTTTTTTCGTTTGTGAACTCTCAGCAAAAGTAATACCCGCTTACTCTCCAATAAGATGTCGTTTAACCTGATCATGTGAACTCATAGTATTGCACACTCATAGTAAACCAAGAAAGGTGAGTGGCAAGGTGTGAAGGAACGATTGTGAGTCAGGGTATAGGAATTTGCCGCTAATTCGGTTAGGTGGCGCATTTTTTGCACTTCGTGGAACCTTGGTAAAGCTCTGGACCGTTGTCAAGTGTAAACGGAGCTACTGCTGTTGCATAGCTTTAAAAGAGTTTACAGACTCCACAAGAGGCATCGAAAGAGATCGATGGGAACCAGAAGAGTGCCCCCTCAAACAAGCTGCGCGAGGATATGTACTACTAAGAGAGGAGTTCGGGATTGGGCGTGCATCCGGTGTGTGTTACAAAATACGAAAACCCTTCTTCATCGAAGAACTTGTTTATTGGTAAATTGGGGAACGCATTATTTTGAAGGCTCGGTAAATACGCTTATCCTCCAGCTCGCAATTTGCCCTACGTCCTACGATATTGTAAAAAATTCAATGAAACGGCGTGGAAACGAAGCTAGTAACATTCAGTGCATTGGCGAATTCCCGCTGTAAGTTAATGATACCGTAACCTGCACAAACTACTGCACCGAGATGCCCCACCTTAGTGGAATGGTACTAGGTACCACTTACTCTCACTCTTTTGCAGGTCCTTTCGACCATATTTGTGTACAACCTCCGTCCACCAGGAACACGCGAACGTCGCATTCCTCGTCCAGACGGAAATCCAATGAGCTTGCTTTTCAACTTTGTTTCGTGCCCCAATTATACATACGAGGCATTGTCATGGCTGTCATTCACTATCATGGTACAAAGCCTTCCCAGTGAGTTGTTCGATTGTCGGTTGTTTTAACTTTTTTTGCGACTTATTAGTGTCTCTACTCCGTTTTCACATTTACAGATTCCTCACGAGAAAACTTTTCAACCAGAAAGCAACCAATGGTATTTGTTATGTTTGACTGACTACTTTGCTCAATCAGCAGCTCATGAGCTTAACGTCATTTATATACCAGTCAGGTTTCCATGGTGGGACGTTTCTACTTGGATCAACGTTCTGGCGAAGTCGCCTTCTTGAAAGCCTGGGATCATATTGACCCTAATACTGTAAAATTATCTTGCCTGACTTGTTTACTGTCCTCGGCCGGTTGCAAATTTGTTGGTGAAAGCCAAGCAGAGTAGTATTCCAGTAAGAAAAAAACGTCTCACCTCGATCCCAGCAGGACAAGGCGCCTACTCACTGAACTCCCCGCTAACCCACTGAAATGATATGATAGAGACGTTACGATATCGTGTCATTTCCCCAAGCGCATGACGATCTACTGCCACTGGTTGTCAGCGACTTTTGCATGAATTCTTGGGGGGGGGGGGGGGAAATATGAATTGCTTGGTATTTATTAATAGCAACGTCGACTACCCCTACACCTCTTTCCAATGAATTGCTTACATGCTTTGTGTGCCAGTTGAAAAGTCAACTGCAGGGAGACTGAGTTGTGGGCATGTTCAAACTGCCACATGGGATACCCCCTTCCCACTGTTTGGATTTGAGGCCTGTCGTTCAAACGCCAATTCTCATCGTCTTTATTTATGCTGAAGCAATTTTTCTGTCAACAACTGCCGCATTTCCGTTTTTATCATGTCTGCTATGCCTGCAGGTGCACAGCTGTGAATGTATCGGGAACACCTGTTGGAATTGCTGCAGTTGTACTGAGTGGATGTGCTATAGTAGTCATAGGGTTAAACCACAATAATACTGTCACATTAGATTGATATCAAAAGTCTGTTCTTTCAGTCCAGTAAACAGTTTTTTCCATCACTTCCCTTTCCATAACCTCTGATATAAAGAGGCGTTTCGCGTATGGGCAGTCATGCACACAGGCTGACCTTCGAATATACCAAATTCCGCACTTCGGCGTCGGAAAGGGGGAGGAATTTTGTGCTTTTGCTACTTCCCATCAACGAATCGATCAGTTGGTTTACCTGTGAAACCTTAGGAAGCCACGAAGTGATACTAGCCAGAATCTGAATCACCTGCTTACTCTCATAAAGTAATGAAATATCATAAAAGTAGTTTTTACCATGGTGCTCGACGAGCTTGCCTCAGCTTCGCAAGAGTTCACAGGTTTCACCAGAGTGAGACTTGTAAACCGGAACTAGTGAAGCAGCGAAAGTGCAAAATGCCCCCCCCCCCTCCCCACCTCCCATTTCGTGGCCGATCTGCGCCTCCCAGAGTAGTAATGTTCTGTTGTTTTGAAAGAATGGGAGGAGGTGGTTTACGAGGGTCGTTCAAAGTATTCTCAGGCATCTTGATTTAGCAGTAACGAAAGAATATAAATTATTTCAATAGGTTTATTTAGTTGTCGTAAATGCTATTCTAGTTATCCTTGGTGTGACTGATGCGACAATGATGAGAAAATGATTACTGAAAAAAATGAGAAAAATAAAAAGAAAAATTGGCCTATTCAACTATTACTACCCCAATTTTCCGAATACGCGGGGACGGCCGGATCTCGATGGAATTTTTTGACGGTACGGGGGCAGATTTGTCTGAAAGTTGGGTTATAGGGAGAGTCCGACGGCTCCTGAACACAAATTCATCATCGGGCACCTGCCTTCCAGGACCTGCCTGGGCCTGCGCCACAGGCGCCGCGCCCAAAAGTAACGCTAGAGATCACAAACCATGCCTTGGAAAAGCTTGTAACGCCAGGGGGTTACTTCAACCTCCTGAATCACGAATAGTCTTAATCCGCTCGCCTTGAAACCGCTCCGGCGAGCCCACGGCAACGGGCGCCGGGGTCAAAATGCCCCAATCACTGGCACGCGTTGTGGCGCGGCGTCAGGCAAGTTCAGGCCTAATGGATGGATATTCGTGTTTAGGAGGGGGTCCCAAGAAAATTACCCCTAATAAACCCCAAAATATCAGCGCAAATGCCGGCCCTCCCGGGTCGAAAAAGGAACGATCTCACGATCCGCGCCATGTGTTCGCAAAACTGGGGTAGTAATATATAGGTTGAATAGTGTTTTGTACCCCAGCTTAAAGAATGATTCTCGTGGGAAGCGATGAAGAGTTGATGGCGGCAGTTAACGCACATTTTGCTGATGACGAAGGAAAGAAAAATATTTTCGAGTGTAAAGTTTAGTTCCTTCGGGAAGCAATAATTGGTCATTGAGTAGGGACTCGCGTTGAAAAACAAATTTCATTAGAAATTTTCTGTCCTTTCCTTCATACCTATACCGAGAATACATTGAACTTCCCTCGTAATACTAAGTAATGCCATTTACCGTGCTCGTCCGGGGCTTAGATGCCAGATCTGCTTTTGTTCAGGCCAAGCTAGTACATCTAGTGTTGGCTAGTGGTATCAGACTCGTTTAACGGGGTTTACTACGATTTTTGAGTGCACGTCAAACGCAGGGCGCATCCCGAAAAGGGCTGATTGCCGCTGGAACCTTCACCCTTTTCATGATAGTGGAATGATTTACTTATCCTGTGTCATATCTGCTTTCCAGGTCTTTTGTTCACCATAGCCGGATTCGTGCAGATGACAATTTGGGCCAAGAACAAGCATCGTGCGTACAAGAAGGAATTCCCTGACTATCCAAAGGAACGAAAAGCAATTGTGCCGTTCCTCATTTGAGAAGATATGCGTGTGTTTTTTTGTGCTGATGAACGCTTTGTTACCATCATCTCATTGCACCCACTGATCACTGGAATAAGATAAGCTTCAACGTATTCTTTTTGTGTGCAGTTACTAGATTTGGATCTATTCTTCACCGGTGTCCGCAACAAATTTGCGTTTAAAGCTACTATATCTTCTAATTTATTTGGTTTTCTTGTCGTGTTTTTGTTGAGTTATATATGATAAATCTATCAATGCAAATGATTTGGAACACCATTGTGGTTGAATCCCAGCTGGAATATACAATTATGAAACAGGTTCTGGTTGGATTACAATGGATGATGTTGTTTTTCATGATTTCAAATATTGTGGATTAAAATTGCGGGTTAGAAGATCGATAATTAAGCAATTCATTGATGCTGCTATGGGAATATTTTAATGAAAATGCATTGTATAGATCGATAACCCGACATATGAGGGTTTTGGGCCCCCAAGGTTGGACGGCCTCCCCCTTGAGCGGTTGGATTTCAATTTGTTGGTAACGGTCTGAGCTCAAGGCGTATGTGGCAGTAGGATCGTCAAAGACACGTCCCACGTTCAAAAATGGTGACTTATGCGGCTCAAATTCCAATGAAAAGATGGTGGCCAAACTTTTCAAAAAAATGGTTCGAAAACCAGCCCCAAATTCCTCATGTGGAACTTGATATTTGACCGCTTTTGTACGTGCATACGGTAACGCACCCACTTATTACCAGTATCAGCTCTTCTCCGTTATCACCTCGCTCTCACCATTCGAAATGGAGAGAGTTAGTAACGGAGCAACCGCATCACCAGGAAGCGTTTAGAAATGAATGTTGGGCGTCTGCATGGTCAGTGGGCGGAGCCGTGGTTTCGTCGTGGACTGGCGGCCCTTTGCTGACGTTTTTTTCGACATGTGGAAGTAGTACATCCTCCGTGCTTGCAGACAGGACTACAATGTCCAAATAAGGTGCCTGAACATCAAATGAACGCGAGAGTGCCTTTAAGCGCAGCGTG